AGACAACGAGTCTAGAACATTTAGCAAAGTTGAATTCTAATTTCTATTTAAACGGATAACCAGAACGAAAATTAGCCCGTTCATCAACGATGACAACAAAAATTCTATATTCTCAGCCACAAATCTACTTTGAGATGAAATCCGCTGTTCAAATCTTATTCACTGAATTCAATAGCACAAGAACCGGGTACCTTAACAACAGAAACAAGGTCCAAACAGCAGGTAGACAAAGCTTTATTAAGAGGAGAACGATTGCAAACTTGCTAAAGTGTAAACAAAATACAAAAGGCTGGGAACAGTAAATTCACTTCATCAAAATAAACGTTTTGTGTACCACAGTTTTGCAACTTCTGTTAAGAGCATAATTTAAAGTATCCTAAATCTCTACTTTGGAGAGGCATAACTTTAGTGAAACTTGAATCGATATTCCAAATAAAATTATATTATTAAATGTAGGGAAGTCCAAAAACAGCTGAAAGCTAAAAATAATTTCTTGCTGTATTACAGAAAACGATTCAACCACTCTCTTTATACAGATAAACTTTTGCACCAAATATTAATCCAGCAGAAGAAAAATAAAACTAAAACAGCTGACACTTACATCGTCACTATAATTCAAAGTGATTATTTTTACTTTAAGTTTTATTCTAAACAACAAACAAGAACAAAATTTTGTTTAATCAATATCCAACCCTAATGTGGATAAGAAAAAAGGAGGAAGATTTTGCTATACAAGAAACAATAAGAGTACCGCTTTAAAATATGCTTTTTTTGAAAGTCTGGTAAAAACAGTGCAACGTCTGTCATCCCGTCAGCTTGAAAGAACGATCGTAAAGTATAAGTTCTTCAAAGTTCTTTAGCGTCAGAATTTTATTCATACAAGTGACTGAAAGAAGATTTATGATTGAAACTGTCACTTTCAGGACCAGTAAAGTATTTCTGAGAAAGGGACGAATTAATGGTAGCTTGAAACATGAAACAATTTCAAAACTCGAAAAACCGTATCCACGACAAGATCGGGAAACGCAGAGGACCTGCAACCATACTAACAAAGATTCGCATCTGACTCTTAGAAAACCATAGATGCTTCATTTTGCAAGAAGAAAACCTGTTCTAAGTCATTTGAGACCACTAAGCTGGCCCTGGATGACATCTGAAACAGACCCAACAAGACTTATTGCCTTAGAAGATTGAATAAAATTTGTTCTTTTCTGGAATTCAGATGACAGTCAAAGGAAAAAACCCAGAGAGTAAGAAACCGAAGGCTTGATACTTTTACGGCTTAGTTTTCCGTTTCAAGTGTATTTTTTCCTAGTTTAGAAATTAGTTCTCTTTTATTATTTAGGCATTTGAGAACCTCATTATTCAGATGTATGGGCGTTTCAACCAGTATCAGGCACTGCATCACTTCGACGTCTTTTAATCATACCTTATTTTTATTTGACAATAAGCTTAAAGTCATTTTCAATTCTTATTCTCGATTCTTCATTCTGCATTCTACCTATTCCCCCTTATTCTTCCATATCGTTCTACTTCTGCTTTAACCTATACGTCCATAATTGGTTTTACTGTGCTTCTACTTTCTTTAAAAGAAAAATACTTTTTTTTCGAATTAGCTCTATATAATAAGACACAAATACCCATCCTTTAAATCTCTTCCTTCACTAACCGGCTAAATGTCATGCCAGTCTTATACCTGACAATCAGGAGAGTTCCCAGACGCTAGCGCAATCGCAGAACAAACCCAATTAATTTCCTAAACCCAATTGCTTCAAACAAACAAGACTATTTCGTTAGCCAGAGCGGAGAGGAATGTTGCAGACCACTGAAACAGAAAAGAATAAATAGAAAGTGTTTGCTTAGAAACGAATTAATTACTTCGTCATTATCTACAAATTGAATCATACGGTAAACAACACCATCAGTAAGACAGTCCTCAATTTTTTTAGAAATATTCGTGATTCTCCCGCCAGCATCTGTTTTTTTGCTGTTGCAGAAAAACTGTCATATTTATAGATATAGAGAATAAATACCAAGATCTGACCAAAAAGCGCTCTCCTTGACACCACCAATTTCTGAAGCCACTTCCTAACTGAATGCTTTTCTTAAAAACTTCCAGACGAATTACAAACAGCAACTTTCAGTCATCTTTATTAGTCACAACCACTGTGAAATGCTTAACCGCCACTGTTTCCCATCAGCTGCGCACCCTCCCACACCACAACTAAAATACCCGTGTCCGGTTATCACCCAGCCACTACCACCGCCTTTCTGCTACTTTTTCTAAGACTTTTACTTATAGTCCGTCTCGAAATATCTAACTTGTTCCTAATGAACTTAACCCTCACAAGTAATTAGCCAGTGGCACTCTAACGAAGTGTCTACGCAACAACAGAGCTTTAAAATATAAACTGAAGGTATGACAAACAAACAAAAACTCGTTTAAATGTTAGCCACTCCTCGTGCTCAACAGGAATTCCAACACCCAGTCGGCACGCAAAAGATAGCAATACTAACTCGACTTTCCTTACATGAAAAGCAGAATACATTTCAAAGCATGTCGAAAGACCAAAAGCCAGCTAAAACCCAAACCAAACGCTTGCCACTTTCGTATAATACATCAACTGATTTTTTCTATTGGTAAAAACACTTAGGCTCGAAAAGGTTGACTGCCCATTTCAACAGTTAAAACCTGCCGGAAATGACTTCCTACCAGCTCACAATATCGAACCAGTTATAACATATGTATATATGTTACAACTGTTTTCGTTGAGCTAGATCAGGAAAAAAAAACTCGTATCAGAAACAAATGCAAAGAAAAAAAAAAAAAGAAAATGAAACTTTATACAAAAGTCCTTTGGGTAAATGTACCTCTGAGTTAAACCATACAGATAACAAGACGGTCTACAATATCACAACCAACTTAAACAAGAGCTCGTAAAATAACAGCGATGTTATTGAAAACAATACTAAGTGAAACAAAGACATAGCCAACAAGAACAAAGATGTAAAATTCTAACAAATATGAAAGCAAAAAACATAACAATATAAAAAAAATTTATAATAGACACACTCGAAAAAACTCCGAATAGCCACCCTAAACTAAGTAAGCTTACAAAGCAATAACAAATCTGAGAAAAAAATTGAACATCCAAAAAGCAACAATTTAAAAATAAAACACTTCCGGGAGCACCAAGCAACAACAAAACGCCTCAAACAAGTGGCTCATTCACTAGCGTAGCTTCACATGCAAATAAACAATACAAAAAAAATCTGGATAACATACACATAAAATGTTCCAATTAAATGATAGTTCCAAAAATAAGGAAACATAAAACTAACCAAGATCATCGCAGATTTGGTGCAGGTAATTAGAAGTGAAGAAGAATATTTTGGTCACAAGAAAATTAAGAAAATATAATACAACTTTAGTAATCAACTTTCTAGCCTTGACTTGCT